GTTATGCTGCATGTGTGTTTGGGGCGATGGGTCTGCTCAGCCCCCACACAACATGCGGCATCGGCGAGTTTCAGCAGGTCCCAGGGTGAGGTGCTGTCTGCAGGCACTTGCTGTGCAGTGGCCACTCTTCCCTATGCTGTTGTAACATCCTGGTCCTCTGGGAGCAGTCACTGAGCCCAGCCCACATTCCAGGGGGAGGGGACGAACACCACGTGTCTAGGAAGGAGTGTACATTATCCTTTGAATTCTTCTATAGGGAAAATTAGTCTCCTTCCCTTTCATTTATTTATATTGGTTTGGACCTGTGTACTCATTATGTAGGGTTATAATCAATTCATTTTGGGTTGTATCCAGTACTGTATTACTTATCTCACTGCCCGCTTTGTCCCGGCTCTGGCCTTGGGAGCTCTTTCGGGTTGGTCCTGTGAAACCACCATCTCTTTGTTTTGGGAGCACGTCCTGGCTTCTGGCCCTACGAGGTGCCTCTGCAAGTCACATTTTGTGCTCTAGCATCTGCCCAGGTTCCTTGTGGTGGGGAAGTGTATGGAAGCCCAGGTCTGGGCACTGGCAGCTCCTGCTGCGGGGTCCTCCTGACAAGGAAGTCCACGTGGACTAACTGGTGTATGCACCAGCTCTGCTGTCATTTCTGCACCTACCTGCCTGTGTGTCTGCTCGCCTGATCGTCAGTTCTCCCTGGTCCAGCCCGCGGGCTTCTTTCCAGCCTCCTCCCTTTGCCTACTTGTAGCTTCCTTCTCTGACGGTGGAACCTGCTCACGTAGCATGTGCTTCAGCCCTTGTGCTCCTGCAGAATAGTTTCAGAATCATTCACCTCCCAAGTGGAGCACAGTGTTTGTTTTCCAGAGTTGCTCTGGCCATTTCTTCTCCCCCTCCGGGTTAAGTAGCAGCTCAGTGAGGTGGGTATGTTATGATAAAATTAGATACATTTGCCAGTCTTCATGCTCTCCTGGCACGCGGGCATCCTAGATGAATTGTTTTTTACTTTGCATACATTAAAGTGTATTCCTTGTGATGTACGGTTGTACGAGTTTTTGACAAATGCATAGATTCATCTTGTACCCACCACCCTTGGCTATCAACTTTTAACTCTGTCATTCAGGGTTTTTTGTGGTTTTCTTTGGTGGATCTTCTATTCCCCCCACTGAATAACTGCTGAACCACACTTCCATTATTTGCCCCTTGAGAAGGACAGACTTTGTGTGATCCTTGTTGTTAATGCCAGGTTGTATTTCCTCATAATGAGTTTTTAACATGGGGGAAGAATAGTAGAATTTTAGAAGTTCAGGGAACCTGGAAGATTCATCAGATTTTATTTACATTGGTAGCTGGGCAGGTTGTCCAGTTAGGCTGGGTATCAAGGCAGAGCTGGAGCCCAGATATTTCGATACTCTTGTTACTAGGGAGACTTGAGATGGGAAGGATGAGGCCATGCAGGAGAGCTCCCACCATTGTGCAGGTGTGAAGCTTGTGTTTGTGGGTGTGGTTAATTGTAGCCATCAACTATTTAATGCCGTGTGTGCTTTTGGGGAGGAGTAAGGTATAATTAATCATTTGCAAGTGAGAGTTGGAGTGAATTATTAATAGTTTATTTGGTTTGCTTTTAATGCCAATGTGAATGAAATCAGATTCTCTGAATGCACAAGGAATTCTGTTAGGGTTGAAAGGAGGAGGTGACTGAAGAGCTCCATGCTCAACCTTTGCTTTATGAGGTTCTACTGCATAGACTGTATCTCATTAATTCTCATAGATAATTTAAGGAATCTTTGGGGACCTACAAAATGGGGCCCCACAATGGGACAGTTTCAATTCTTTCAGTGCTTGCTGGGTGATGGGCACTCAGCTGACCCTTAATGCAAAGATGGGTCGCTGTGCCCTCGTCCTCTGTGAGAGAGAGTGTGGACAGGAAAGACCAGAGTCGGGTGTGGGTGCAATTGTGTTCTCCCCCAGATGTTTGGTAGATTTTTTTTCTTTTAAATGAGTTTTTTTTTTTTTTTTGTCTTTTTCCGTGTCCGGCAACGGATCACAACCCTCAGTGTCGCCCCCGTACCGGACTGGGACCGGCAACGGGATCGCAACCCTTGGCGTTGCCCCCGCGCCTCGCTCAGCCAGTGAGCGGGAACCAGTCTGTATGTGGGATCCGAACCCTTGGGCGGGAGCGCCGCTGCGCTTCCCAAGCGGCACACTATCCAGCGCACCACCGGGCTGGCCCCATTAAATGAGTTTTTTTAAGCATATTTCCTCCATCCTGATACAACTTTGTTGGTTTTTGCTTTTTCTTTTCCAGCATTTTTCCACAAACACAGTTTTACATAGTTGTATGTACACGATGTTGTATTCTAAATGATTTTGTTTAATATTTATTGTAAGCTTTTCTCAGGTTTCTCCACAATACAGTGTAGTTTCTGTATTTACCTATCTCCATAATGTTAATTTGGTTTTTTTTCCAAAAAACTCTACCATAATCCCTTTTATGCTTCTAATGGTTTTTATTTAGTGCATTGGTTTCTTGGGTTCTATTTCCTGGCTGAGGTTATTGGGTCAAAGAGCATGAACATTTTACGGCTCTTGAAGTATATTGCCTGCTTTACAATGCTCACAGCGTTCTTCGAAAGCTGCCAGATTAGACCTGATCCCGGCTCCTCTCACACTTCACATTAGATCTGATCCTGGCTCCTCTCATGCCTCGCATTAGACCTGATCCTGCCTCCTCTCACATTTCACCATCTCCCCTTTTGTCCCTGGTCTCTGGGTTGGGGTATGCTGGAGACCTCTGTACTGGGAACATGCCATACTCACTTCCTGGCCTTGGCTTGCCCTGCTGCATGGACACTCTCCTTGCAGACTTGCGCATGGTGGCCTCTTTTTTCAGGTGTTGGTTGGACTCCGGGTGAGACGCTTTTGCCCCCACTCCAGGACAGCATTCTTCACCGCCCTGGGAAGCTGGCAGCCCAGGCACTGGCAGTGAGCAGGCGCTAAGGGAGATGTGCCTGGGCATCTCCGGACCCCTGATTGTGGAGAGGAACCAGGCTGGGCTCTGTCCTGCTCTCAGCCTCAGTTTCCTGGTAAAAGGAAGTTTAGTAACCTGTCTTACAGGTATAAATGGGGAGTATACAGTCTTCGGCTCATCAGGGTTTCGTTCTGCCCCACCTCCTCTACAAGCTGCCTGGGTCTCATGGAACAGTGGTTATGCCGCCTCATCCACAGCGCCTTAGAGGGGCGAGGGAGGGCAGGGGAGAGCAGGGAGTGGGGGCTCACTGTCCTTGCATTGAGAGACAGACACTGACGTACCGTTAAAGATGTCTGGAAAACAGCCAGTAATTGCTAGTGGTGTAAAAATACCTTAATATGTCGCTGTAAGTATAAAATTCTGTGTAATAAAATGATTTGAAGTAAGGAACTTGGAATTAGAGATTGCCATTCTAGAAGTGAGACTATGAAGTTGGCTTAACCTTAAATTTTTAAAAAGTTTTTCTGTTTTACTTTTCTAGCTGATGTACAATGTTTTTAGATTTAGGGATAAAACAGCATTCTCTTATTCTAAGAAATAGAACATTATTTGAGTAATTGGATGTTTTATTTTTTTCTTATAAAGTAAAATATTTTTATTGAAATATTTACCATGAGAATTCACAAAGTTATTTTTCCTTTCATATGCATTTTTAAAAGGTTTGCTTTGCTTTTCAGTGAGATTTTATGATAGCTAACTTTCCTACAAAATTTGGTAACCACTTTTATTGTGAAAGTCAGTGAGAAATGAGGTTAACTCTACAGTGATGTGCAAAGAATATTCTTAGGTGATGGAAATGTTCTGTGTCTGTGCTGTCCAATTAGTATGTCAACCACAGGTCACATGTGACCATTGAATGCTAGAATTTCATTTTGAATTTAGTTTAAATTTTCATTCAATATAGCCATAAACAGGAAAGTAGTTCTAGAAAGTTAAGGTTAAGGGCACATGTTTTTCTCCTGTAAGGCTCTATGGAGGGTTAATTTTCCATTGTTAACAGAATCACCTGATTTAGTTTTAAATAGTATTCTCTAAAATACCTTATCTATTATAGAAACAAAAAAACCACCAGATTTTGAGTTGGATGGATGAGTATGGGAAAGAGCAGGAGAGAAATCGATGGTCTTGGAATTTAAATATTTCAGGAGCCCATTGTTTTCAGTGCTTTGTGGTGTATTTTAGGAGCAGAGAGAGGGCAGAGCTGGTGCTTCTCTGCTTCCTCCTCCGTGTGCTGTAGAGGTCTGAGGTGGCGTGCGAGGTTCATCGTGGGGACTCAGCAGAAGTAAAGAAGCTTTGGCTTATAGTTTCCATCATGAAACAGGCAGTCCATTTAGACCTAGGCCAAATGGTCATCCTGACACTGTGCAGGACACATTGTGTGCGGGACACGTGGCAGTTATCCCAGGGTGAGGGTGTGTCCTCACACAGCCCCAGATGCTTAGTGCCTCAGGGGAGCGAGTGGACAGGTGGGTGAGGGACAGTACTTGGCTTTTATCTTTTTACAGATCCTTCTGTTTATGTTACTCGTTTGGTACATTTGGTCTATTTTGGGGAAATTGTTTTGGTTGCCCTGAAGATGGGTGGCTTCTCCCTGTCTCCCTCCTTCCCACCTTTTTGTTTTCCTCTTCTCTTTTTCCCTCTTTCCCTCTCTTCCTTCAAAATACAGTCCCAGGGATCAGCCAGCTTTGTTTATTTTTAGCACGGTTATCTTTGAGCTTGACAAGAATCAAAAATTAATTTGTAGTTCTAGATGGGATCAGAAGTTAATTACAGGAGAGGATTGAAATCCAACTTCCTACAGAAATTTCTTACAGGAGCATGTGCTGCACACTTTACTGTTGTGCTTTTTGACTGACTTTGTTGGATGGTTCTCACATCTGTAGCTTTTTAGCTTCTGTACAATCATGTCTGCCTGTTGAGCACACTGCTGCAGCTTGACCCCACACCTGATGAAGTTTTCTTCTCATTTGCGTAGGTTGCACAGAGCATTGAGGATCACCATCAAGAAGTGATTGGTTTCTGCAGAGAGAACGGTTTCCATGGCTTGGTTGCATATGACTCTGATTATGCACTGTGCAACATCCCCTACTATTTCAGTGCTCATGCCCTAAAACTGAGCCGGAACGGGAAAAGTTGTATTTACCTATCTCCATAATGTTAATTTGGTTTTTTTTCCAAAAAACTCTACCATAATCCCTTTTATGCTTCTAATGGTTTTTATTTAGTGCATTGGTTTCTTGGGTTCTATTTCCTGGCTGAGGTTATTGGGTCAAAGAGCATGAACATTTTACGGCTCTTGAAGTATATTGCCTGCTTTACAATGCCTGAATCCAAATCGTTTTCCTATTTTTGCTGCTCTGTTAGGTAGGTGGAGCAGTGTGAAAATTTTATTTTATTTTATAAGGGAGTTGCTATGCCATGAGCATTTTAGTATTTTAAATATTTCATCAGTGCTTGCATGTTTTGGGTGCACATCTCAAATTTAAGGGAACCAAGGAATAGGCTCTGCGTTAGTGCTCTCTACTTCATTTTTTGGTGTAGCTGATAATGTGCTGCTTTTGTTCTTAAGTGTAGGTTCATGTATCCTATATGGGCTGAAAAACTAATTTTGTGACTAAACTCACTTAAACTTTTGGAAAAATAACATTTCTAAACCACAAATGTTAGCACATGCTCACTATGAAAATTAGACATTTAAACCTTTGGCATAAATTGTGTTTGTAATAGAAGAAAATGTGCTGTGGTGTTAGCACTGTTAGGTTTTCCCCTCATTTTTAGGACACTCACTACTTTAAAAGGCAAACAACAAACATGAACTATCTTACCTTGTTTCCAACACCTACATTTTAAGTAAGTGTGTAAATGTCTTTAAAAATTCCCTTAGACAAATTCCTTATGTGGATACCCCGAAAGTTTGAAATCATGTTTTAATTAAGATTTTGTATATTACTTTCTCTTACATAAAGATAACTTTCCAAGTGGTAATCATCTGTCTGTCACTTTCTGTCTGCATTGTGTGGTTATTTTTTTACTCTTCTCTTCTGCCCACTTCCCTTTCTTGTGCTTTTAGTGGGCCTGTCTCAAGCTACTTTAATATCCAGCTCTAATTTGCTGAAAGTTTGTAAGAATTGTGTTTGAATATAGGTAAATATATTTCATAGTGAGGCACTCCTGCGACTAGAATCCATGATTATAATGGGATTTGGGACTGTTCTGGACACACAGGCCCACTTCTGAAAGCTGTGTGGTCTGCAGCAAAGTTATTGTGATTGTTCTGTTTGTATTTTGTAGAGGTGAGCAGCTTGATCTAGGCCTGTCTGAGATGAATTATATTGTGGGTTATTTTTATAAATTCCAAGTTATCAGAAAAATTTTTATAAGTATTCCAAAATAGTTTTACACAATTAAAAATTATTGTGAGGGAGTCACAATTTTTTATATATTATTTTGTGGTAGCGTTTCACGTTTTATTATATAACAATCAACAAAATTCTGATTTCACAAGTTGTCTTTGTTTATTTGGATATAACCTCAAATACAGATTCTCAGGGAACTCTTATGTTTTTGGGGGATTTGAAGCATTAAAACGGATCTTCCAAATATATCTTCAAGTATTAAACTATAAAATGTTATTTCTTCTGAAGTTTAAAGTGAGTGTGTGAGTGGCACACCATATGGAAAGTTCCATATTTGCTTAAACGCTATGCACACTAACTTCAGCATATTAATTGACTTTCAGTGAATGTGAAAATTATATGCTCTTAGGATGTGGATGTCTTAGCTTATTTGCAATGTGTAAGAGTATTTGTTTATCTTATTTAAGAAACATTGAATACATTTCATGGGAGATAATGCCAATTCATACTTTCCTAGCTAATTATTTTGTGAAATTTTGAAATAAATGGAAAGCAACATCAATTGTAATGTTTCATCAAATTAATTTAGGGCTTAGAATCTCTTAAAAGTTTAGGTAGGTTATAGGTAAGCTCTTAATTGGGTGGGCTTTTTTATTTTAGATTTTGTAGAAGTTTCAGTGTCCTCAAATGAGAAAGCTTATTTTTCTTTTCCCTAATGTAATAGAAAGTATAGCTATGTAAGTTATTTTGTTTTAGGAGAGTTGAGTGGAATATTCATTTAAGTATTTGACCCAGGTTTTCACAGAGACTACTACTGATGTTGGAATTGACTTAATATTTTTTCAAATTAAAGCTTCAAAAAAAATCTCAGACACTTCATACTTCACAGTAAATTATATGCGAATAACACATCTGATTAAATCATCTCTACATTAAGAGGTTGTATAACTTTGTTATACAATCACAGTTATTTAGGAAATTATTGCTTTTAGGTTATGTTGAGATAACTAGCATACTAAAGATGTTAGTGTATCAGGCATTCAAGTACTACCGTGAAAGTAGAATATGCCTCCAAACATGTAGTTTCTCAATTGAATACGGCTCTTGTGACATGGCACTGGCAATAGGATGGACAGCTTAATGGAGCTCATGTGCATTGTCACAGGGTGTGATTTGTCTCATGTTTGTGAGTGGTCATGGAGATTATGGGAGGAGGGTGTTGATTCACGTTATTTAACTAGAGCTGTTTCATGAACAAATGAAAATTTGAATCTAGTTGGCATTTGGCATCCTGGCATTATCAGACTGACCTTTTTCAAACTGGTATTTATTTTTAATACTGTGCTGGGAAGTTGCTTAGGTTTTATGTAGTCCTTAGTTTGAATGCTGTTGGAACTGTACTGGAAATTCATGTACTTGAGGCAGCTGCAAGGAGTCTCTGCCTGCTGTATGTTGCTTTCTGTTAAAAGATGAAATATTCTCAATTTTTCTTTGGAAGCTTTGTGTGGTATATTGACAAACAAACAAAGATAATCTACTATAGATGACAACATGCAGTGATTTTAAGTTTCTCTGTGTCACTTATGAGATTGCTTTTTATGTTATCCATGTTTATGTTCTAGGAAATCACATTCTCCCTGATGAAGATCTGGCTTCCTTTCATTGGAGTTTACTTGGTCCAGAACATCCACTAGCTTCACTTAAGGTACAGATTTCACTTCATTTCCAGCATTCCTAATAATCAACTATTGATTTAGCCATTACTTTAATAATATAAATTATGCCCATATAAGAAAGAAACATGCGGGCCGAGCCCGTGGCGCACTCGGGAGAGTGCGGCGCTGGGAGCGAAGCGACGCTCCCGCCGCAGGTTCGGATCCTATATAGAAACGGCCGGTGCGCTCACTGGCTGAGCGCGGTGTGGGCGACACCACACCAAGAGTTGCGATCCCCTTACCGGTCACGAAAAAGACAAAAAAAAAAAAAAGAAAAGAAAGAAAGAAAGAAACATGCTACAAAATTAGCAATATCATGTTTTCCCCTGATTTCAAGATCTTACTGCCTTAAAAAACAAACAACCCATCCCATCCCACCTTCCTTTGTTCCCAACACCTATATGTTAGGTAAATTTATATGTCCTTGAAAATTCCCTTTGAGGAATTCTTAGGTAGGAGGAAACTTTTGGGCTAAGTTTTTATATATTTTCTTACTTAAAAAATTACTTTTTTTCAATAGGTAATGTAATTATTTGTCACTTAGATCAACATATTTTAGCATATGTTGGTAAGTTTTGTAACTTCATTACTGATTTTCTACAATTTAATGCTTTTTGGATGATGGGGGAGACCCAAACTCATTAGAGAAATGGTCTATTTGTAGTGTCGTATTAACACTTAATATGTTTTCTTGTCTTTCTCCCTTTGAGTCCCTTCCTGTGTGTGGTAGTAATGAACATCAGAGAAGAGGCACTTAACTCTCATTTTCTGCGTGGGAAGGTTTGCGTGTTTTTGTGAGCATAGCAGTAATGAGTGGGATTGGTGTGTGCCGCTAGGACACTTGGATTTGTTAGTGACTCCTGTTACTGTAATTATGATTTGGTAGGTGCACATGCCTCTCCTGACTTGGGGAATTGGGAATACGGGGACTTAGACTTTGTATCTGCTTCCAGCTCTGGGACTGGCTTCCTCACAGTGAAGGGAGGAGGTTCAAAGGAGTGGTTTCTGCAGGCACACTGTCCTGTACAGTTCTGAACTCTGTCAGATGCCCTCCCTCCATAAACAGTGTCAGTTAGTTTCAACTTGAAGTTTTTCTTCCTACATTTTAATTTACACTTTGGTGATTCCTGAGGTTCATGTCGAATTCTTTTCCCACTTGTCATTTTGTTGCTTGCTGTTAAAAACTTTTCTTTTTCATCTCTTACTACTGTGTTGTAAAATGTTTTCCTTTTCACTCGTATAGTTCTTGGTATGGGCTGTTCTCAATTTCTGTTCAAAAGTTAATTTTTTCTCCTTTTGTTAGAAATGACTTGGGGTTTTTTTATTATTATTATTTTTGGTCCTTTAAGGAGAAAAGCCTCCTATTTGCTATTTCCCTCCTGAATGATTTCACGAATGAAGTGATCTGTAATGTTGATCCTAAGCTCCTTATGATACCTGATTGCAGTGCAGACTGGGAAAGTGCCGTCTGTAATCAGCTGGACTTCAGAGTATCGCATCTGTGCTCCTTAGATTTGTTAAGCATTACACTTTTAGAAATTGATGGGGGCTGGCCCATGGCTCACTTGGGTGAGCGTGGTGCTGACAACACCAAGTCAAAGGTTAAGATCCCCTTACTGGTCATCTTTAAAAAAAAAAAAAAAAAGAAATTGAGACACAAATGAAGGTGTGTTTCTTAGAAGATTTTTAATATATGATTCAAAATCCTCTGTATGTTGGCAACACTGAATTTTTATTTTTATTTACTTATTTCGTGAATAAGTAGCGTTCCTGGACTCATCTTTTACGCATGTGTCTTTACCCACCTCACTACGTGCCTTACATGCATTCACTGTGAGTTTTTGACTCTCCAGTGTCATTGAGCCAAGGGTATCAGTTAGAAACTACTAGGTTGTCCCTTACTGTGCACAGCTGTGATTATGCTAAGAGAACAGCCTGTCTGCTTTGGGGCTCTGTGGGCTAAGAAGTATGAGAAGAACCTGGAATGGTCAGGGAGGACAGATAAGGTGATTAAATCATTGGATATTATCTGCAAAGAGGAAAGCTAGAAAGGAACAGCGTTCTGTTTCGTGCTGCTTTATTCTTCAGCAGCTCACGCTTATTACTAAATTTTGAATGCGGTGCTGGACATACTTAGAACCTAAAAGTGCGTGAAGGTAATAGGCAATGGGAAGTAAGGTGGTTAGTCAAGTTTTAAGCTTTTTCATATTTCAGTGTCACCATTAAGAGCTGTTAGTAAGGTGGGCATCAAACTTCTTAGACTTAGAAGAAGTAAAGAATATTTCTTTTGTGTTCAGAACACTGAGAGGCCGTTTCATGTAATGGGTACAATTTTAGGACATGGTGGGGGAGGTATCTTTAAGGTGCAAGCAACTCTGTAATGAAGGAAAGAAAATAGAGTTATGTGTTACCCCTGTCCTCCAAGGGCCTGGCTGTTGAGGTCCCACACTGCAGTCCTGGAGGTCCCAGAGGCTGGGCTGGAGCGTGGGGCCTGCAGGACAGGGAGCCTGGCAGCAGCAGGAGGCTGAGCGGCTGGGCCAGGGTGGCAAGAGCCCAGACCTGAAGCTGCATGTTCCTCACGTTGCTTCAGGTATGTTATTCTGTTTCTTTGGCTGTAAAAATTTAGGAGAATATTTCACTTATCTATAATATGGTGAGGGATCCTCACTTATTTTAACTTTTTTTGATGGAAATATTTCTTAAAAGAGTTGTATATTTAATAAGCAAGATAAATTGAATATCCTTTTAATGTGATTTTTGGCTCTGTAATAATTTTGAAGATCCATATTGCATTTACAATAATGAATAGTATTGGCCTCTTGAATACGCCCCCAACTCCCTGTTTTGCCATGGGCTGCTGTGCTCATTTGGTTTACTTCAGTGTGGCAGAGTGTTCTAGAAGAGAAGGGGATGGCCACAGGCAGCCTGGGACTCAAAAAGCTGAGCCTGGAGAGCACAGGCCTTGGAGTCCACGGGCCTGACTTCTGCGTATAGCCGGTTTGGTTCCTCCTGTCCCCGGGGCTCGTCTGGCCACTGTGCCTGGGTATGAGGACAAGCAAACTGGTGGGTGCTCAGCGGAGGGGGCGTGAGACTGTGGTGGACAGTCCTGCTGCACGTGCTGAATGAGAGCTTTTCCTTAGTGTGCATTTTGGGTTTTTTATTGTTCTGTGACTTTGTGTACTAATCAGTTAAGGGAAGTTTTTATTTTGGGTAGGCATTTTTTTTTTAAATGTTTTATAGGTGTTTGCTGGCTTTAATTTTTAAAAAATATAAATTCTTTTTTCCTCTGGCTTTCTTCTATTTATTTTAATGGTTTTGTGTTCCTTAACTTCATATTCAGTTTCACGTATTTTGAGCTTCTGTCTGTCATTTGTTTTGTGACCTCCAAATATTCCTGGCCACCGAGTCCTTGAGTCCCTTCCGCCGTCCTTGTCTTGGACACCCCAGCTTGCAGGTTCTTGCTGCCTTTTCCTCTGCCCAGGCTGGGCCCTCATCTGCGGCCCTCCCCCTCTCCTGTGGCCCTCCCCTTCATCTGTGTGACCTCTCCTGCGCTTGCCCCGGAGCACTCACTTTCTTCTGCATCTTCCCAGGGGCTCCCTCCAACTCCTAGCCCTGGCATTTCTTCCTTTTTGATTTAAATATCTTTTAGTGTTTATAACCTTACCACTCTGATTCACTTTTCTTTTTTTTTGTAATCTTCCTTTACCAGCATTATCTTTCCCTGGGGCAGCTACACTGAGGGCAGTCTATCAGGCCATATCAGGAAGAGTTTGTTTTAAATTGCCTCAAATTTTACCCAAGGGTATGGAATTGGGGACTGGACCTCTCTCCCACAACCAGGCACAACATGCCAGCAACTCGGATCCTACCCAGGGACCCAGGGCAAGGAGAAGGTGAATGGTCCTCTCTCCCACAACCAGGCACACCATGCCAGTGCTTCAGGGCCCGCCCAGGGACCCAAGGCATGGAGAAGGGGACTGGACCTCTCTCCCACAACCAGGCACACCAAGCCAGTGCTTTGGGTCCCACCCAGTGACCCGAGGCATGGAGCCAGGAACCAGACCCTCCTCCCACAACAAGGCACACCATGCCAGTACCTGGGGGCCCATCCAGGGACCCGAGGCAAGGAGAAGGGGACTGGACCTCTCTCCCACAACCAGGGACACCGTTGCCAGCACCTCAGGGCCCACCTGGCCCAGAGGCATGCAGAAGGGGACTGGACCCTCCTCCCACACCAGGCACAAAATGCCAGCACCTCGGGGCCCACCTAGGGACCCGGGACATGGAGAAGGGGACTGGACCCCTCTCCCACAGCCAGGCACATTGCGCCAGAGCCTTGGGGCCTGCCCAGGGACCAGAGGCATGGAGAAGGAGACCAAACACACCCCACAACCAGGCATACCGCCAGTGCCAAGGAACATGCCAAAAACAGCACCCCCATGTGGGTGGCCCACTACAGCCACCACAATAACCATGGCTGCTGCAAAAGCTGCTAGATACCATAGCCACCACGCAGATGGTCTGCCAACCACTGGAGTGCATTCACACAAGAAGAGTCTCCAGCAGAGACAAAGAAAAGAAGAAGATGTCTTTTTCCACAAAACCCATTTCAGAGTGACCGAAGAAGCATCTGCTCTATGATAATATTGGGGGACCTGATCACACCTCTCAGCATTGGACAGATCGTCTAGACAACAAGTTAACAGAGTAACCATTATTCTTTCAGAAGGAGAGAAGAAATCTAGGGCAATTAGAGGGGGGCAGGGGGAGGGAATGGAGGAAGGGGAGAGGTTGGACAAGGGTCATAAAGAATAATTACGATTTGTAACAATATATATACTAATAATATTGACTTAATCAACATATCTTGGTGTTCAACCTCCAAAATATGTATAATTGATTTTGATTCAATAAATAAAATAAAATAAAATAAACCAACCAGATTTTACCCAAGGATATCTATAACTCTATTTTTTATGTGTTATTGTCT